CAGGGTGATACATATATATACAACAGATACATGTGCTTTAGGATAGAGCGAATATTAAGTAGTAGTATAAATTCGCAAAACTGGTCGAGAAGATCATATACTTGAACATTACTCTCCTCGATGATAACCTGCTCAACCTGAAAAAATAAAGTTTACAATACGAAAAAAAATCAATCAATGAACATGGAAACATAATCTCAAGTAACTAGAAAGATTTCTACGAAAATTGAAGATGAATAACAAATCAGCAATCACAACGAGAGTGTAGCGTACCCTTTCGAAGGCAGTATGATGAAGTCCATGTTTAAGAAGCTCGGCCACGGCGTTTCTCAACTGATTCACAACACAAAGTCTTTCATTCTTGAGTAGCTTGAGCCGACATTGGACCGTTTGTACGAGCTTCTTACTGCAAAAACAGATAACAAAAAAAATAAGTTCAGACATTGATATTAATCAGCAGAAATAATTAAGAAAGATAGCAAATTTTGTTAATGCAAATATATATATACCACTTTGAATCCTTTCCACATCCAAATAGAATACCAAACATTGTTTCAAGTGACTTATGGCAGCTATTAATTTCGAGAAATTTATGCAAGAATTGTAAGGAATTACGACTCGGTTCGGTTCGATACTCAGACGACTCGGATCTGTTTTTTAATAACATAGAATGGCAAGATATGGTAGGTTTAGTTTCTTTGAGAAACTAAAGATAGTTTCCTTTTCTAACTTATAAGCCAACTTGTAGTCTTTCCAACGTAATAGCATTTTTCTCGAAATTGCCTATTTTTTATCAACAAGGCCGATTCTCTTTCCGTTGCATGTGATTTAAAAAAGAAAAAAATTGCCGGAATTGGGAAAATTATTAATTATTTATAAGTAATATAAGTATTATAAAACAAGGGAAAGACAAGAGAGCAAGTGTGTGTATGTATTGTATTCTTATTCAAGTATATCTCAACTTCATACAATGGTGTCCCTTTTATAGTACAAGAAAGCCATTCAAAAGGTCATGAGTTACAAGGGAATGAATGGCCTTAACATCCACCATTTATCACCTATAATTACACAGACTAATGATTTTTTAACTCCTATAGACATCCATCATCGGTTACATAATACTCCCCCTTGGATGTCTATGACTATTGAGAGTGTGATACATTGCCTCGTTAAAACCTTGCCAAGAAAAACCCATTGGGATAAAATTTGGTCGAAGGAAAAAGAGTACAATGTTGGGTTATTAATCACACTCCCCCTGATGCTGGCAATAGATCGTTAAGCCGACGCATTCCAATGTTGTAGATCATCTTCTTGAATGTTGTAGCCGGCAGAGCTTAGTGAATAAATCATCGAGGTTATTACTTGATTGAATCTGACGAACTTCTATTTCACCATTTTTCTGTAGTTCGTGGGTATAGAAGAACCTTGGCTATATGTGTTTTGTTCGATCTCCTTTTTAATATAACCATTCTTGATTTGAGCAATACAAGCCGCGTTGTCTTCATACAATAAAGTTGGTGAATTCTTCAATGAAGATAATCCACACGTCTCTCGAATATGATGAACCATAGATCTCAGCCATATGCATTCACGACTTGCTTCATGTAGTGCCAAAATTTCAGAATGATTAGATGAATTGGCTGCTAATGTTTGCTTCACTGAACGCCATGATATAGCAGCACCGCCGCAAGTAAATACCTATCCACTTTGAGATCTACCATCAGATAGATAACCTGCAGCAAAACCCACTACATGCGATTCTGAACCTTTTGAGTAAAATAAGCCCATATTGATTGTTCCTTGAAGGTATCGAAAAATATATTTTACACCATTCCAATGTCTTCGTTTTGGCGAAGCGCTGTACCTTGCCAATAAGTTAACAGGAAATACTATATCGGGCCTTGTGCAATTAGCAAGATTCATTAATGCACCGATAGCACTTAGATAAGGTACTTAATAATTCCTCATTTTCTTTTCGAGGACGAAATGGATCTTTCTTTACATCCAATGACCGGACAACCGTAGGGCTACTTAATGGATGAGCTTTATCCATTAAAATCGTTTGAGAATCTTTTCTATATACGTTGATTGATGTATAAAGATTCCATTCGACAAATGCTCGATCTGTAGGCCGAGACAAAATTTTGTTTGTCCAAGGTTTTTCATTTCAAATTTTTTCATCAAATAATTTGCGGTTTTTGTAAGCTCTTCGGGAGTACCGACAAGATTTAAATCATCTACATATACCGCAATAATGGCAAATCCATTGTCGGATTTTTTTGATGAAAACACATGGACAAATAGGATTATTTATATATCCTTCCTTAACAAGATAATCACTAAGACGGTTATATCATGTCCTTCCAGATTGTTTTAAACCGTACAAAGATCGTTGTAACTTAATTGAGTATAATTCACAAGACTTGTTGTTATATGTCTCTGGCATTTTAAATCATTCTGGGATTTTCATATATATATATATGTCATTATCTAATGACCCATATAAGTATGCAATGACAACATCCATAAGGCGCATATCAAGCCTTTCTGTGACTGCAAAACTTATTAAATATCGTAACGTGATTGCGTCGATCACGGGGGAATATTTTTCATCATAATAAATCACAGGTCTCTGCGAAAAACCTTGTGCTACAAGTCTTGCCTTGTATCTCACAATTTCATTTTTTTTCATTACGTTTTCGCACAAACACCCATTTGTACCCAACGGGTTTAACATCTTTAAGAGTTTGGACTATTGGACCAAATACTTTACGATTTTCTAAAGATAGCAATTCAGATTGCATAGCATCTTCCATTTTGGCCTATCATTTCTATGTCGACATTGTTCAACCGATTTCGGTTCAGGGTCCTCATTCGCAATATTTAATGCGACCCCATAAGCAAAAATATTATCAACAATGACTTTCTTTCTATCCCAGCTTTCTCTTGTATTCAAATAATTCATAGAGATCTCTTCACATATGAGGTCTTTTTCGTTAGCCTCTTGAATGATGATTTCATCATCTTTAGACTGATCAGTCACTTTTTTCATAGCGCTTTCATTTTCAATTGTATTCTCTTTAGGAGAATTTATTTCATGTACCATTTTCCTTCGAGGGTGTTTATCTTTAGCGCCAATAGGACGTCCATGTTTCATGCGCGATTTTATTTTATCAATATTTTGTCCTGTGGGGACATCAATTCGCGCAGGTGTGTTTACCGCCGGTATATCAGATTTTGTTACTTTCTTTATATCAGTGAAAGCATCCGGCAATTGATTTGCAATATTTTGCAAATGTATTATCTTTTTTCACTTCTTGATCACATTGATTTGTGCATGTGTCAAAATGAGACAAAGATGGTACATCCCATGAAATTTCACGCCGTTCAATATGAATCGGTGATTTATCTCCCCCTAACGGCAGGAAAACTATCTCATTGAAATGGCAATCGGCATACCTTGCCTTAAACAAATCGCCCGTCATGGGCTCAATATATCGAATTATAGACGGGGAATCAAAACCAATATAAATTCCCAAACGTCTTTGTGGACCCATTTTTGTTCTTTGAGGTGGAGAAATAGAAACATAAACCGCACAACCAAATATTTTTAAATGAGAGATGTCTGGTTGCTGTCCAAAAATAAGTTGCAACGGTGAATATTGTTCAAATAAACTTGGTCGAATTCGGACCAATGAAGCTGCATATAATATTACATATCCCCAAACTGAAGTTGGTAAATTAGACCTTAGGAGTAATGGTCTAGCGATTAGTTGCAACCTTTTAATAAAGGACTGAGCAAGTCCATTTTGAGTGTGCACATGTGCAACTGAATGTTCAACATCTATACCAATTGACATGTAGTAATCATTAAATGCTTGGGATGTAAATTCACCGGCATTATGAAGACAAATAGTCTTAATATGATAATCGAGAAATTGAGCTCTTAATCTTATAATTTGAGCAAGAAGTTTAGCTAAAGCAATAGTACGTGTTGATAGTAGACTTACATGTGACCATCTTGATGATGCATCTATTAGGACCATGAAATAACGAAACTGTCCACATGGTGGATCAATAGGTCCATAAATATCCCCTTGAATTCTTTGTAAGAATGATGAAGATTCATTACCAAGTTTCATTGGTGATGGTCTTATTATCAATTTTCCTTGTGCGCAAGCATCACACACACATTCTTGAGGTAAAAGAATCTTCTGATTCTTTAGAGGATGCCCATATGAATTTTTTATTATTCGACGCATTATAATTGACCCTGGGTGGCCTAGTAGATCATGCCAAAGCATAAAAAACTTGGGATCATTGGACTTCTTGTTCATCACAAGGTTTGATTCTATTGCACTTATGGTCGCATAATATAATCCCGATGAGAAAACTGGAAGTTTTTCTTTCACATGCTTTTCGCATGAAACCTTGGATGTAATACAAAGATATTTCATATTCCCCTCATCCATAGTCTCAATATGAAATCCATTGAGACGTATATCTTTGAAACTCAATAAGTTTTTGTTTGATTGGTAAGAGTACAAAGCCTCTTTTATAAAAATATTTGTGCCACCGGGCAATATTGTATTGGCTCTTCCAAAGCCATCAACTGTTTTTGTAGTACCGAAATGTTTACTAACATTTGCTTTCGTCCAATTTCAAAGTCTCTCGAAGAATAGTGTGTGTTGTTCCACTGTCAACCAAGCAAATATCTCCACCATCCAAGTTGCTCACATGAGGCTTATCATTATCCATGGTTCTATGAAAGAAAATGAGTAAAATAAGAAGATGCGAAAAAAAAAACTTAAATTTCCATAAAATAAACACATCATAACATAAACTTAAATAAAAAAATGTGTTTACGACGAAGCACATTAAAACTAAGACTCGATAACGAACAAGACATCAAATTGAAAGACTCGACAAACTAGATTATTCGACGAAAACATAAATAAAAGAAAAAACACACTTAAACATAACATAAACTTAGAACGAAATCAGTCATTCTTCACTTTTGCATTTCCATCATTGGCCTCATCACCATTGTATTTTGTTTCACCAATCTCTCCACTTGGCTCATTAAGGAAATCACCAACATCCAAATGAGTGAAATCCATTGGATCACTATTATCAACAGTATCATTGTTGAAATTGATAAAATTGATTTTTTTTTCCTTTCCTTTACCCTTGATGGATGCTTGATATAAGTCAACAAGGTGTCTTGGTGTACGACAAACGTTTAGCCAATGCCCATTTGCTCCACATTTGTAGAAAGAGTCATTTTGTTTTTTAGGAGGGCTAAATTTCATAGTATGGCCCTTGTCTTGCTTTTCACCATTCTTGCTCCACTTTGGTTGATATGGTGCAATTCTATTGCCAACATGGTTTCGATTAGGACTACGTACATATCCACGACCACGACCACGGCCACTAGTAACATTGTTAGCATACACATGATAGGATGAAGCATTTGCATTTGCTTCTGGCAGTGCTCGTGAACCAGTTGGATGGGAGTTATGATTTTTCATCAACTACTCATTATTTTGTCCAGCAATAAGGAGGCAAAAAATTAGTTCAGAATATTTCGTAAAACCCCTTTCACGAAATTGTTGTTGCAGGAGCATATTGGAGGCATGAAAGGTAGTGTATGTATTGTATTCTTATTCAAGTGTATCTCAACTTCATACAATGGTGTTCCTTTTATAGTACAAGAAAGCCATTCAAAAGTCATAAGTTACAAGGGAATGAATGACCTTAATATCTACCATTATCACCTCTAATTACACACACTAATGATTTCGTAACCCTATAGACATCCACCATAGGTTACATAATAATAAGGAGATTTGGTAAGGCGCCAATTAATTAAAAATTAATTTAAAAAAAAACTTTTTTTTTGAGAAATTAATTAACTTCATAATAAATTGTAAGTAATATAAGGAGATTTGGTAGGTCCAATTAGATTAAATATAATAAAAATATTATTTGACAATACCCATGTGTAGTTACATTGAGTGCAATTTTTTTTTATATATATATATATTTTAAGATAAATCCAAAACAATTTTAACTAATAAAAAGTAATTAAATTTCACTATTATACCCTAATACTAATCTAATGTCTTACGTTTGGATTTACTTAAGTTATTTAACCCTAGACTTTTCTGCAGACTTCTACCCATTATTTATCCGTTCATCTCTCCAACTCCACCCACCCAATCCAACAACAACCCACCTAACACACACCACCTCCCGCCATCTTCTACCCATTAGACTTATGCACATCTCTTTCCAGCCCCCTCTCCACCCAACACATCCCACCTCACTCTGCCCGCCCGCCCACCCCTCCCCCCTCTTTCCCTCGCCCAAGCCAACAACAACAAACACCGTCCGTCGCATTACCACAAATCAATTACTTTTCTCTCTCTTTATGTGATCCGCCACTACGTTTTAGGAAGCGTTTGCAAATCATATCTCAGTCGAGGACATTTGTTGGCGGAGGAGGAAGAGGCAACGTATTTTTTTTTTTTGATTCGACGAGATGTAAAGGTTATGTGAAAAAACTCGGAGGCTTTCAACTTTTAATAAAAATAAAATTCGATAATTTGAAATGAAATCTCCATTATATGTTTCTACTGTTTTTACTGTCCCAATTTTCAACCACCCCCCCCCCCCCCCCCCGCCCGCCTCGCCCATTCTTTTTTTTTCGTTTTTTTTCTGTGTGTGTGTGAGAAATGTTTTTTGTGGGAGTGAGTGAAATAATTATTGGATAAATAGAAGCTATGGGGTATGGGGTCCAAAAAATTATTCGATTCACTCGTAGAGTTATCGACCCAAAAAATATCAGTCTTGAATGGTTTATCGAAAACCAATATCTCAATCAAAAGTTATCTCGAGAAAATTGTAAATGTATGAACATGTTTGGTTATACATAATGGAATTCGTTAATTACAAATTAATTATAGAGTGATTTTCATTAATAACATAGTGGATTTTCTTAGTGGAATTCGTTAGTTATGCAGTGGTTTTCGTTAATTACAGAGTGATTTTTGTTAATTGATAAGTTTTTAGTGATTTTCGTTAATTACAAATATTGTTATGATATTTGATTTTTATATTATATTATGCATTTAAAAATCCTGTTTTCAATATTTTGGTAATTTATACAAGGATATCTGTATTATTATGGCTCAAATTTTCAGGACGCAATAGAATAACGAGAAGAAGATGATTACACGGACTATGGTCTAGGGTTCATTGGAGAGAAAATGGTGTCCTTTATAGTGGTTTTATAGCTTATTTTTCGCAGAAATTTGATGTTTTCATGTTAGAATTCATAGTGGTTTTCGATGTTTATATAGTTGTATATACAGAGTAGTTTTCATGTTTATATAGCTGTTTTATACAGAGTGGTTTTCATGTTTATATAGTTGTTTATACAGAGTGGTTTTCATAATATCAGTCTTTGTCTTTGATAAATTTATAGTGATTTTCAACAAATTTATAGTGGATTTCGTCTAGTCCGTAATGAGTTTCGATAAATTTATAGTGGTTTTCCACAATTTTATAGTGGATTTCGATAAGTTTATCAAGAATTCCACTTTGATAAACCTGCTGGGATTTTTTTTTTAAATATTACAAAAAATAAAAATTAATCGAAATAACTAAATTAATAAACATAAACATTTTTATTCAAAAAAGCTGGGAAAAAATAAAAAAATATCATTTAAAAAAATCGGAATTAAAAAAAACCAATAAAAAATGAAAATAAAAATAAAATTATTTAAAAAAAAATCAAAATGAAAAGGATGAAAAATATAAATAAGAAATAAATAATTTAAAATAAAAAAATCGAAAAAAAAACCATTTTTTTTAAATTCAAATAAAGAAACCCATTAAAAAATAAAAAATAATAGGAAAAATAAAAATTGGAATGGCTTGATACGGGGAGATATTAAGGGGATTTGCATATTTAAAAAAAAAAAAATTCATTTTCCATAATAATATATATGGTGACTTTCAATAATATTAAATAAGAGTATTTTAGATAATTCAAGTCAATTGGGTTTATAACAAATATCAATTAATAAAATATTATCATTAATTAAAAATTGAATGAGGGGTGTTTGTCATATGATTTATTTTGTTTTTGTTTTGGGATAGTAGACAATTAATTAATTAAGGGGCGATTACAAGTAAGCCTATCAACGGGTACTTATTCATAAAGAGATCCAGACAAAAACTCATTTATCAATAAGTTCACACATGGTCCAGATTTTTGTAAAGGACTAAAATAACCAATCATACTTTAATATGCTCCAATTTCATCATTAACTTAATTTAACCTCAATTTGACCCCAAATTTCACAAATTATTCAATTTTGACCCAAAACTATTTTTTTCAAAAAAAAATTTCCCGCCAGATTCCGGCGTTGACTTTTCAAAAAAAAAAAAATTTCTTCCGGATTTTTTCGGCGGTTTCCGGCGTTGACTTTTTCGATTTTTTTTTCTTTTCTTTCTTTCTGTAAATTTTTTTTCGTTTAAACAACAATATTGCTGTGATTGACAGTAATATTAACTATATTATTGTTAAACACAGTAAAATTAACTAAATTACAGTTTAACACAGTAAGAGTGCTATATTAATCTCTAGAACAGTAATATTAACACAACAAAACTCATTATTATTGTGTAATAGAGTAATATTACTATGTTGACCGTTCAACAAATGTAAACATAATAAAAAGCCAAAACAATTAATATTACTGTGAGTGACAGTAATATTACGATAACAACAGTAATATTACCGTCAACCACAGTAATATTACAATAATAGACAGTAATATTATTACGTTACTCCGTGAATAACTCAAACAAACAAAAAAATCCAAACAAAATAATAATATTGATGTGGTTGACAGCAATATTACTATAACAACATTAATATTACCGTCAACCACAGTAATATTATTGTGTTTACAGTAATATTACAATAGTATACAGTAATATTATTACGTTACAACGTGAATAACTCAAACAAAACAAAAAAGCCAAAAAAAAAAAACAATATTGATGTTGTTGACAGTAAGATTATTGTGTTTACAGTTATTTTACTGTCAACGACAGTAATATAATTACGTTGCCTTGTCAGCAAATCAAACAAAATAAAAAAAATAACAAAAAATAAAAAATAATAATAATACGAAAATTTACTGTCAACGGCAGTACAATTACGTTAATTAACTGTCATTGACAGTATAATTACGTTAATTTACTGTCAGTGATAGGCTAACAACCCAATTACGATCAACGTTTAGCGGCGGATGTAAAAAACAAAAAAAAACCTTAAAAAACACGAAAAAATCCGGAAGAAAAGAAAAGAAAAAAGAAAAAAAATAAACGAAAAAAAAAGTCAACGCCGGAGACCCGTGAAAAAATCCGAAATAAAGAAAAAAAATGAAAAGTCAACGCCGGAATCCGGCGGCAAAATTTTTTTTTTCTGAAAAAAAAAAGTTTTGGGTCAAAATTGAATAATTTGTGAAATTTGGGGTTAAATTGAGATTAAATTAAGTTTATGATGAAATTGGAGCATATTAAAGTATGCTCCAAAAAAAAGTTAAAATTGAATTTTTGTGGTCATAATTGGATTTTTGTGGCAAAAAATGATTAAATTGGGGTTACAATTAAGAATTGAGTATAAATGGTTGAGGGTAATATTGACATATACATAAATGTTTCCTTTATTTATAATAAATATTAAAGGGATGGGCTTATTGGTGAAAAAGATATAGCCCTTAAACCTAGAATAATAAAAATGTTTGGTTGGAGACTTATGCACAAAAACCCCTTAAAGCATCAAATATTTTTATTACAAACAAGATTCTTAAGCCCATAAAAAAAAAAAAAACCCTTCAAATTCTAATTTTCTCCAATTTCATTTCTTCAAACCTTAATGTAAGCCTAATTTCACAAATTAATTAATTTTAATCATTAGCCTCAATTTTAACTGCATCAATGTTGACCAGTCTTCAACAATGTTGACTTTTGTTTTTTTAATAACTCTAATAATTTTGTTTTGTCCAACATTATTTTTTTTTCCAACAATGTTGCAGTCTCTCTTTTTTCTTTTTTTTTTTTTTTTTTTTTTTTTTTTAATTTCAAATCCAAGCTCTATCTTTATCTATTAAGATTTGAGATATATTCATGAAAAATAGGAGATTGATAATTACTAAAAATTAGTACCGAAAAATATTAAAAATAAATAATTACACGAATTTCTATTTATCTATTAAGATTTGAGATATACTGATAAAAAATAGGAGATTGATAATTGTTGAAAATTAGTAAAGAATAAACATTAAAAATAAATAATTACAAAATTACCGTTAGGGTTTTTAGGGTTACCCAACGTTTCTTTCTTATATATATAAGATTACTATTTAATATATATATATATATACCCAAATAAACTAGGAATAAACCCAATCCCAAATGATCCTTTGACATACCTCCCTGGAGAAGCGAAAGTACT